GATGATAGCAGTCTAGAGCAGAGCAACACAGTGAAACTAAAAGTGCAGCTACAGATCTTCTAGTTCTAGTTAATAAAAAGGCAACCGTAAATAATCCTTTTTATTAGCTCTAAATTAGAAAAACTAAAATTTTAAATAGCCTCAAAAATGGCGTCCACTTCTTCATTTATTTATCTGAAGGATCCTCATTCTAAAGAAAGGAAGAAGTTAGAAACAGACACAGTTGGAAACCTGCAAGTCCAATCCTTCATGAGTAGAGTTTCTGATGAACTGAACCTACCAGAAGAACAACTGAGTAATTTTTAAAATAATCATGTTATCTAAAAAATATTTTCTCTCAGCTTTAATGTATGGTGGTCGTGTTTTAAAATCTGGAAAGACATTGGGCCAGTATAAAATTGAAGAAGGAATGACGATATTCTATATGATAAAGAAACCAAGTGAGAGAGAAAATGCTGCATGTACATGTACATTTTATTGTTTTAGAGTCTGTGAGTTCTGGAGAGCATGGCGTGAAAAGGGAGGAGTCTCAGCTAAAGAGATTAGCACAGAACCCACGAGTACATCAAATAGTGAGTGTGGTTTTTAAAAATTAATACACATATCAGTCTTTTTGATGCAACTTCTTTTAAGTTGACTATCTTTGGCACATAAGCTTTAACTTTATCCTTAATTCAAGTTAATTGTCCTCTTTTTCTCTTCTATGTTGTTGCTATTGTATTATCCCTATTATTAGTTTCAGCGTATATTGGCAAACCCACTTTTGCTCTCTTCGATTGTTCAAGGAACAGAATTGGAGAATAATCCAGTTGTACAAAGTAAGTGAATGTTCTTAATAAATCTTTCATTAGATATACATAATACAAACACTATATTAAATTCTATTTTTTAAATTTTTTTATTAGACTTTGCCAGTAATCCTATGATACAAGCAGCTGCTTCTGATCCACAAGAATTAACAAGGTAAATATTATCATCATACTATTAATAAATTATTTATTATTATTATTATTATTATTATTATTATTACTCTCTCATTTCTTAGGATATTGGAAAGTGATGAGTCCCAAGCTGAAGGTGCTCGTCAACTATTGGAGCAAATCGGTGCACTCGTTGCCGTGGAGAGAGGGTGTAACCGCGACGACGTTGAAGACGATCAAATTGTGGACATGTTGGAACAAGCAGTTGATGATAACGAAATGGATTTCATGGACATGGGAGGAGAAGAAGAAGAACTGGCCGACGCACAAGAGCAAGTGAGCTTAGCATGATACATGTACATGTACGTGTAAATCTAGTCAGTATGCATGTCTGTACATGTATACTGTGATTACTATTTTTCTCTCTCTCTCTCTCTCTCTCTCTCTCTTCCTTTCTTCTCTTTTCAGATGTATCATTATTCTCAAGCTATTTTAGCTCATCAGAACAGTAACCAACCACAAGGTCAGAATATGGAGACAAATTCAGAGGCTACACCTAATCCTCCTCCACCTCCTTATCCTGGACCAAGTACATTAATAGTTTCATTATTTTTACTGTGGGGGGTTTCCCACAAAGCATGAGCTTCATGAGCTGACAGGCACTATAGTGCATGGTATTTGGAGCAACTTTAAAAATTCATAAAAAATCTGAATTTGATTGGAATCAGCTCAAAGTTGATACACAGTATAAGAACATGTATATGTATCAGAAAAAATTATAAAAACGGACAATTCTTTACTAGCCATTTTTGACGAAATTTGGCCTTTGACCAAAGGCTATAGCCTTGGGTCGTTGGCTTGATTTTTGAGCAACTTTAAAAATTCATAAAAAATCCAAATTTGATTGCATAGCCTTGGGTCGTTGGCCCGATTTTTGAGCAACTTTAAAAATTCATAAAAAATCCAAATTTGATTGGAATCAGCTCAAAGTTGATACACAGCATAAGAAGATGTATATGTATCTGAAAAAATTATAAAAATAGAGAATTCTTTTCTTGTGATTTTTGTCAAAATACCCTGTACTTTATAGTACACTGTCTTTGGCCCAACAACTTGACAATCCACCACCAAGAAGAAGTTACATGAGCATTGTGCCTGTGGGAAATCCTGATAATATGTATAATTATACATAATACATGTATCCTTTTATCTTGCTCATCGTTTTTGTCTTCTACCCCCTTCCTCCCTCTCCCCCTCCTCTCTCTCTTTATTTCTCCTACAGGTACTACTCCTGCTGGTCAGACAGCACCAGTAGCCAGTAGTCCTGGTATTACACAGAACATGTTAGCTGATGCTCTATCAATAGCTGCTTCACCTACTAGTAGTCTCACATCTTCCTTGCCATCATCACTCAATACTCGATACCTTCAGCCGCCTCCTTCAAGATCAAACCCATCCCAGTCCGGCCCCAGTAGTTTACCTTCCCATGCTCCTCCTCCTCAACCCCCCAGACGCTCTCATAGTAACCCAGGGAGAGAGGGTCAGCCCCCATCAGCCACCACTGTCTCACAGGCAGATCTCCAAAGAGCACTACAATCCATTGCTATGGTAAAGATACATGTATACATTATTTATTGAGAAGCATGTAATGTACATTTATAATGTACATGTACATTTTTTATGCAACAAGAAAAATA